CGCTTCGACAGCATGCTTCGTGGCGCGTTTCGAGGCCACGCCGTAGGCGAAGGCCACCTGCGATCTGGTATAGAGATATATGAGAAATGATAAATAATTATAGTATATATTATAATCTATAATACATAATTACATCATATAGATATGATTCATACACTCTATATATAATAATATATATAATAATATATATATATAATAAGCATGGTCTCTTCAAACATCTTCAGACACCATTTGGACAATCTTATGGACAACTATCATCTTCTGAAGCTGCATAGGCTGGGCAAATCCAATCCAACTTGGCTGCCTGGGATTTTCTGCCAAACTACGAACCGGCAAATCTGACAACCATTTTGTTGCATACAAGATATACTCGTCTCCAAAAAAGCAGGACATGGCTTTTATATACTTTTATCATCTTTTGTCCAATTATTTGTAGAATTGAAAGAGGATTCGGTTTTTGACTAATTTTTGAGACGGCTGCCTAATTTTGGAACATCAAGTGAATATATGTCTCCTCTGTCCTTTTGAAGTTTAGATGAATCAATCGTAACAGTGGACCCCGTGGAAATCATAAATCTTGGAGACATCTTTCGGAACATTATGGTATTAGTATGTAAGACGATAAGTCGGCCAACTCCGGCAACGGGAAAACATGATCTAAGTCTGGTCTCTGGGTCCTGAATTTCCAACACGTCTTTAAGTGTGGGGCCGTGTCGTGGTGCAAGGGAGGGATAGCTGATACTGATATGATCTCATATGATATTGAGAATTATGATAATATATATATATATATTACATTATATTACCATATATTGCCTGTGAACCACGAAATCACCCACGAAGCCTCCGGCAACCATCCGTGAACTAGTCACCCGCATCCATGAGCCACACCCGGCCCCAGCCCCTCCTGAAATCGCTGAAATTGATAGCACAATCCTCGAACGCTTAGGCCGCCCTTCAACACCTGCGAATCGTGGGACTCTGCTGGCGTCTGAGCGGTGATACTAACGGCTCATGAAAGCTTCATGTTCTCATGCGGTCTTTGACGCTTGCCAATCACAGCAAATTTCCAGGGTTGGGTGTAAATGAACATCTTGCATCATCTTGCAACAACTTCTACATCTTTGTAGCATTTTGCAGCTCCTTTCCAAAGCCTATTGCTTTCACCCTGGCCCCAAAACGCCTCAGAAGTCAAAGTTTCAACCTCTTGCAGGCAGTTCAGGGCCTGTCAAATGGGTTTGAGCCGTGGAACCGTGAAGCTTGGCTTTCCATTCAGGAGGATATCAAAGTATCTTGTATCTCCTAGTACAATGCATTTCATATCAGGAACTATCCCAAAAATGGGTTACATATGGTTATATCACAAACAATACGGAGGTATAAATAGGATTGAACAGGTAAATCTCCAATACCAGTGAGTATGTAAGTTATAAATACAAGCTATCCCCTAAACCTAAATGGTTCATAATGGTTCCCTTTGTATGTTTGATGAGATTTTGGATCGCATTCTAGCACTCCACAGTGGAAGCGTTTTTGGCCCTTTCTACGTTTCCTTCTTGCCATACAGATCAGTGTCACAAATGTTTCTACTTGAACATTCACTGTATATACTGCATTTTCGTTGTTGAAATATCAGGTACCATGTGGTTGGGATAGTCTCATCTTCCGTGAAAACAGGCGGGTTTGTCTGAAAACGTGGTACCCTCAAACATCATCCAACTGAGTATCATCATTTTGTATCATTTTCACATGAAATTCACCATGTTTGAGCGGTATCCCCTATTTATTCGACAACACCTATGCAGTAATCATTGCTTAAATCATTTAAGCCCATCTAAATACTTTTTTGATGATCAAAGCGATGTTTTTGATGGCTACCCGCCGGTAAACTAACATAGCTTTGGGCAATGCCCACTTAGTTCGGTGATTCACCTATTAAACATTGTAATTTTCCATATCTATGTTAGTTTATCAGAGGGAAAATCCTATCCTCTTAAGATGGCATCCCATCCGCACTGGTTAGCGCCCCCAGCAACCTCACCTGACTGGGGGAGTCCAGGGGCCTTGGTCGCGGGAATCATGGTCAAACACCTAGAGACCTAGAGTAGAAGGGATTTCCGATTCATTCTCAAACTCCCAGCTTTGACAATGACACTAGGATGTAGGTCAAAAAATGGTCAAAACCCTGTCACCCACAAAACCCCCAAAACCCCCAAATGACCGGAGTCAGAACTTTGAAACATCGCTTCAAATCGTGAACGAATTTGTGGACTTTGGAGATCGGGCCTTAGTCCCCTCCATGGCCCTCTCCCTCGGTTTCCCAGGCCATTTCTTGTGCATCAGCTCCTTTGTTTTCTGCTCAACTCGCTTGAACTGTGCCTGCATGGATCCACTTGGAATCTCGGGGGCAACTTGTTCGACTTAGTTACTTAATTATTGTATCATTTTTCAGACTTCAGGTAGATGGAATATGGGTTGTCTAAAATTTTAAGCATCAAAGTGGTATTTTTTGAGAAAATGGTGATTAGTGATTGGCAATAAAAAATTGGGGCAGTCAATTTTCAAACAAACTCATACCCCCAATGTCCAATCTCTAGACACTTGTGGTGCGGGGAATGTTCCCAAGTCACAACTTCATAGGTTCTTTTATCCCAGAAATTGCATGGAGAAAACACACCGTTGGATAGCGTTGGCTGTTGACCCTACCAATTAATGGAATGCCATGCGCCCCACATGTTGCGCAAAATCTGGCTGCAATCACCAACCTTCCCCGCACGGGCATGGATTTCTACCCGGGGACTCTACCCCTACTTAGAAACCGGGATCATTGGGAAGATCATCTTCAGGTTCCGCTGCTGGGGGGCAACACATGGCAATCCTCTGCCGGAGCCTCCAATTTTTTGGTCGCTTCGATTGATGTGTTCTCTCCAACCAAACCTGGCCATGCTCAGTGGATTCTTTGGAATGCCAAGGAAATTTCAAAGGGTGAATCTCTGCAATGGATTGTGATATGAATTCAAATAGGATGTCCAAGAGAGCTCGCACGTCTTTCCAAGGGTTTGGGATGTGCTCGCCAGGCACAGCAAACTCTGGTGGCAACTGTGCTTCTCATTGACGCCTTTGACAAAGCCACATGGTGGGTTCCTAAACCGGGGATGCCTCCAATAAGTTCAACACTGGTCATTTTAAACCTAGGAGGCAAACCATGGGAGACCAATTGTTTTTGGGCACGCCTATTTTAGGAACATCGCCTTCGCCACCATCCTCACAATCATATCATTATCATCATCATCATCATTGTCATCATCATCATCATCATCATCATGATCATGATCATCATCATCATCATCATCGTCACCCATCATCATCACAATCCTCCTCCTCCTCCTCCTCCTCATCCATCATCGCCCATCATCATCATCATCATCATCACCCTCCTCACCCATCATCATCCATCATCGCCCATCATCATCATCATCATCATCACCCTCCTCACCCATCATCATCCATCATCGCCCATCATCATCATCATCATCATCATCATCATCGTCATCATCATCACCACCATCGCCATCATCATCCACCATCCATCATCCATCATTATCCATCATCATCCATCATCCATCATCCATCATCATCATCATCGTCATCATCATCATCATCACCATCATCACCATCATCATCATCATCCATCATCATCCATCACCATCCATCATCATCCATCATCATCCATCATCATCCATCATCCATCATCCATCATCATCACCATCATCATCCATCATCATCCATCATCATCCATCATCATCATCATCATCACCATCATCATCATCATCATCGTCACCCATCATCATCACAATCCTCCTCCTCCTCATCCTCCTCATCCCCCTCCTCACCCATCATCATCCATCATCGCCCATCATCATCATCATCATCATCATCAGCATCATCATCGTCATCATCGGCGTCATCATCGGCATCATCATCAGCATCATCATCGGCATCATCATCGGCGTCATCATCGGCATCATCATCGGCATCATCATCGGCATCATCATCGGCATCATCATCGGCATCATCATCGGCATCATCATCGGCATCATCATCGGCAGCATCATCGTCATCATCGTCATCATCGTCATCATCGTCATCATCCTCCTCGTCCTCCTCGTCCTCCTCGTCCTCCTCGTCCTCCTCGTCCTCGTCATCAACTTCACAAAAATCACGGTGACTGAATTTCAGTGAGTCGCAGCAGCAAACAAATCCTTCAAGCAGAGTCTTTTTCGACCGACGGAGTCTAAAGAGCTCTTACCCTGTGGATTTCCATGCATCAAAGGAGGTCCGTGGAGTTTGAGAAAATCAACTGACCATTCGGCAGGATTTGAATCGCATGGCAGTCTCTGTGAATGAGACCATAGCGAGAAAATTCATTGAACCTGTGAAATAGCAGCCAGAACTGTTCGCTGTTGAATGGTCCATTTTCCAGCACGGCTTCATCAAACGAATGATGAAACGTAAGTATTGCCCTCTGTTGGCTGGCTGGTTTGATAGGAGCCTCAAACATCCACTCCTCCATTCCTGGAAGAAGTTGTTTTGCCTGATTACGTGTCTTCAGTCTTGCAAGACCATTAGTGACAATAGAAATCCCACATCTGAGGTACTCAATAGCTGGCGTTTCACCAAAACGTGTCTGGTTTGAAGTGAAACGAGCAGTACAACTCTGCTCAGCTTTCATCCCCAGAGATGCTACAAGCACTTTTGACAGCTGCAGTCCCGTCTTTCTATTGAAAGGTTCAAATTCTTGTCTGGGAAGTTTCTCCACAGCCAATTTAAGCTTGCATTCGAGATATTCAAAAATGTTGATACTTACTATTCCAGAGGGAATGTTGGAGCAACATCCGGTCAACTATGTCATCGTGAATCTCGCGCATGGTCCGCTCAAAGAAACGTTGAAAAAAGGGCGTTATTAACCCTTTGTCCTGCACCTTACTCACCTGCATCAAGGGCACGGAAAAGCTCTCTTGCGACCTGCCAATACAAGCCCACTTGATCTGTGATGAGGGTGGCCAGTAGCATGGATCTTGCCCTTGCTCTTGCATGTACCTCTCATAGTCTGCCACCTGCCACTCAGCATCATCTTTTTCAAATCCTTCAAGCACTCTATGATGTAGCTTCTGTCTGCAAACCCAATGCTTGGTAAAGCTGTTGCAAGGTTCGTCCGGCGTTGCTTTGTCACAAAAACATCTAGTGGGCTCAACCTGGCAGCCAAATGCACCCTTCCCGATAAGCAGCTATGTGCAACAATCTGAAGGCAGCGGGCTGTTCCTGCTTTCTTGGCATCCTCCCAAAGGTGAATGATGGCATCAAGGCCCAAACAATTGTCATCAGTCAACTGCCAAGATCCATCATGGTACATCTATATATCCATAACAAATTCCATACAAAAGGTGACCATCATATGGTGTACAGAAGAATTGTTTTAAATCCTTCAAGGTGTGCTTCCTCGCCAAGTAAATACCCATGGAACACTTGCGAATGTTTGCACGCATGTAAATTTCCAAGAAGTCGTACAGCTCGCCGACATTTTTCGAAGCTCCTATCAGCTCCTCAACTAGCGGGGCCGCCTCTGCAGACAGTATGAAAACACCAATCTTCTCCATGGACTCCATGGCTGCTGTCTGTAGGCAGAAATTTATTCCGAACAATGTCTGTGGAACATATTTGATATATGCGTCAAATGTATTCAAATGTGATTTAGCTCCATAAGTGTCTAATGTGACTTCACAACCTCAGAATAGTGAATAGTGACCGTGTGCCATGCTGAACTACGATGACCGCACCTTGGACACATCAAATGACTTCAATGACTTCAGAACCAAACGCTGTGGACCTTCGTAAAAATTAGTGCATAGCAGAATGGGTCGAAAAGAAGCACTAACCAGGTATGCTGCTATTGTGTTATGTTGGCCCTTCGACCGGTGTGTGAGACATTTCGCAGCATGAATCATTTTGGAGAAACCCAACCAAACAAAATTAGGCGCGACATTTAGAATGACCTCAATAACCTCCCAAGATGTTGTCAATGACAAATGAGGGAAATTGATAGTATTACAAGAGCAGGCGCTGGTGTCAAGTTCACCTTTGGACGTGAACTTGTTGCAAAGGGGAAATATCTTGGTAGATAGTGGATGTATAATAAATGCTTAAGAATACAGAATACCAATGGACAAAACACCACCATTTGTGTCCGTTTTTTTAAATGATTTCCTAAGGAAACCAATGGCTTCCACAGCTGTCTCTGGAATGACATCAGCCGCTTGGTGCCTGCATCCAAGACGGATGCCACAGCTGCTGCACAGCGGAAGGCCACACAGGCCACCTACCAAGTCTGCGCAGGATGGGAGGTGGCAATGTGAGGTTTCCCAAGTCATCGGGGTACCCCCAAATCATCAATTTTTAAATTGGGATTTTCCATTAGAAACCATCCAGCTATTGGGGTACCACCATTTGTGGAAACACCAATGTAGCAACCCCTACAATAGATGCCGAACAATGTTTCCAGGTTGGTTTGTCGATGATGTTTCCTCCATATTTTCCAACAAGCCCAACAATTTTTGATCGTTTTGGGGGTTGCTATACAAGTAGCTTAACAGCACTTGAGTCTTTTAATAGTCGCTATTTCGTAAGCAACAATAGCATGGATTTTTTAATACTACATAACAGCTATATCATAACCAACAATATCATTGCGTAGTATATTCTTAGTATGGGATGATGTAGATTGATGTAGTATATCCTTAGTATATGAGTGTATAGGATTGATATTTTTCTGTGGAATACATGTATTATTATATGTATATGCGTGTATGTATATATATATATAGTTATGTTTATATATATATATATATTATCTATACGTATATAAGCTACACATAATATTCCATAACCAACAATGCGACGAGTATTTTTCATGCTCAGAATCTCAAACTTGTATTCAAAGTGAATGGACTTTGAAGCACTACTTTGTTGCTTATCTATACCCACATCTTTATTGCCCATCTCATCTTATATTAAAACACATACGCTACGATTCTACAAGTAGCACATCTCCAGTTTTTCATATTAGTCAAACACCATCCCAAAAACGGTTGTCAGTGAAGAGTCAACTGCCCCGTTGAACCACAATAAACATTTGGAGCATCTGGGATCATCTGGGTGCGTCAAAATTCCAAGGCAAGGGAACCACAACCTTGTGGCCTGTAGTAGTGAAACCATTCTTTTCCACAGCAATCAACTAACATCAACTAACTTTGGACACGTGTGTGTTTCTCAAAATTGGGATACCCGAAACCATTGGTTTTCCCCTTAAACATAACTGAAGTCACTTGTTTCCTTTTCCCCCAGTAGAACATGTATTACCCCCCAGAAATCAAACATGGCCATGGACAATGGCCTATTGATAGATGATTGTCATTGTGATCTTCCCATTTGAACCTCCACAAATTGGGGGATTTCCCATTGCCATCATTTATTGAGGGTAAACATGGGTGAACTGCAATTCTATGACAGAAATCCCTTGTGTCCCCACCAACCCTTCGTTGCTAAAACGTCCGCCTCGCACATCTCCATGCGCAGCTTGGCTCCGCGCTGTCCCGAGGCAGCGGCGTGCCGTCCGAGCGCCTGACTGCGGGATCCGCCATATTTTTTGGCAGGCGGACATCAACATCGACAAGTTGCAACATATTGGAAAATCATGGTAATATATGGTAATCTATGGTAATAATGGAAACGGAAAATCAATGAAAATCATGTTTTTCTTGTAAACACAGATTTTCCACATCACTTAGAGAACCTTTTTTGGAACATCCAAGTACAACCTTTGAGGATGGCTTGAATCACTTGGGCCGATGGAGATTTCTTAGGGCCTAGGGTTTAGGGTTCACAAACATCCAATTGGGACATGGGGACATGGGAGGGACATGGGCATGGAACACGGGGGCCATCAGGAAGATATGAAATGACAACATGATGACCATGGACATTTTGACCTGACTTTTTCAGGGTGTCGCCTGCATCCTGGATGCATGAATAATATTGAATAATGTGCTCTTATTTTCCGAATACACATGCATATACTGAATTTGCTTCTCTCCTGCTCAGTAAAAAGGCAGCGGAACATCAATCTGAACTTTTTCACTATTTGAATGCTGCAACAAACCCAGCCCTAAGCGATCCAACAAAAACTTCCCAAGCGACACACTTCCACGGGTTCATGGTCTCAAGCCATCCAGTAGTTCAATGATCGTTTGGCTCCCAGGGCTTTCAAAGTGAAGCGAGCATCTCAAACCCCATCCATGGCAAACTGTAGATATCGTGCCAAAAAACAATGAACACAACTCCAGCACATTCTTGCATACATATGACATATTCAGAAATACTCCTCGCTATCTAAAACAAACAAACACAATCACACATGGAACAAAATCATCAAACACGATCTCAAAGTTCATCATCAAACACCATTTAAAGATCAGCGGCACCTCAAGGCGGAAGAGCAGCCTCTCGGCAGCCCTGGCGCAGGCGCCAATGGCCAAGGCAGCACTCAAGGACTGGGAGGCACTGCTAGGTGCCTGCGATCCGTTGACGCGGCAGGAGCACCGGGGACTATATAGCATTTAAATTTACAGTATGTGGAAAACAGGACATCGATTTAACATGATTTAACACGCTCTTAGTGGGATTTTACTACTTTTTGATCTTTTAAGCAGGTTGTCAGATGGGTTAACTAAGCTTTATTCAGATGTAAATCTCAAGTCTAGGGGGTTAGCAATTCGTTTGAATGACCATAGGTCTTTTGTTGAGTCCACGCCAGCTCATCGACTAGCTACTAATATATAATCTTATGCTTTTTTCAGGCCAGCATCACCTGCATTTTGTTAGAACATTTGCAGCTACCAAATGCTTTTCAGATCTTTCAAACCCTCAAGTGATGAATCTTTCTCGAAGTGACAACCACAACCCTATCTTGCGATTGTTGCCGGGCCTTCGGGATGCCGGTCTATGCCGGTCCACAGCTGAAAAACTACACACAGAGCTATCATTCAAAGGTGCCAAAAAAAATTCGCCAAAAAGCACCACACTGGATCTGGGTTTTGATATGCTGATATACCTTCACAAACTTTCATAGATCCAAAGCAACGGATATCAATTAATATCAAGAATCGCAAACCGAAATACTTCCTACAAGAACAGCACATTTTATAATCACATGGCGACAGCTCCAAAGTCATTCAAAAAATCCCATATGTAGTCTGATCAGAATTTTCCCCATTTTCCCGATGACTGGAGGCTATATCTGATTTTGATTGGGTCATCTTGGCATCTTAGCATCAAAAACACCACTTGACTGCCCGACAAAAGAAATAAAAATCGTGCTGCCTCGGTCGTTTCCTGCCAGGTCCGCGGCACACAATCTGCGAAGGCCGCACCCTGCTGAGAGCAGCTGAAGAAAATCGTGATAAAAGCAATATATATATATATATATATATTGAATTGATTTTCATTTGTTTTTGTAGATTTTCTATAGATTACCTTGAGTTAAAAAATCTATACATCATAGTCCCTTGTCTTTGTTGACATGCTCCTCATGGGTTGTAAGCATGGTTACTCCACTTATATCCATTGTGATGCACGTTCAAGTTTTGGACACGATTGAAATTCACCTGACGCAAAGAATCTTAGGTTGTAGTGGGGGTATATCAGACTATCACCAACAATGCTGGGGCATTCTACAGTTGTTGATGCTAAGCGGTTGGTGGCTTCACCCCAATGAAATGTGAAGAGTAAATTGGGATCGTCATCCCAAAATAGGCTTGAACAGTCCAAAATATGAAGATCTATATACTAATATAATATAGCATACTTATAAACTAATCATAACTAATTGCTGAAAAAATCATGTGTGAATATACCAACTAGTCAACTGGTGAACTATTTCAACATGTCTGGCAACTTCAACCGCCTTGGCTTTGACGGTGGCCAAATCCAAGCGCGCCAGACGGAGCTGGACCTTATCAAATACACCATTGAATGGGCCTCGAAAATGGATTGAATACCAAACCCAGGGCTTTGTCCTGGGGTTTATATTTCATATTAGGTGGATGGGATCTATGATGTAGTAGGAGCCCTTTTTCGTGCAGATCCTGAGGTTCTATTACATCAAGATACATCAGCATTTATCATATAGCTGGATATTTACCTGATATGTTGGTATATTATGGTATATGATGGTATATTACCCTGGATGTTCATCCCATCAATCAGCCCAACCCATATGAGTGCGTCTGAAAATGGGGTATATCATGGTATATCCTCATTTCTGCCACGACATGCACAGACTTCGAGATGATCCACTCTATCCCAAGCCCTGAATGGATCGGGAGTGAAGGGTTGAGAATGCATGAATTATTTCTGGCTATTTTTGGGGGGTTGTGATGAGTACCCTCTGGTAAACTAACATAGCTACTGAAAATGGCCATTTATAATGGATTTTCCCATTAAAAATGGTGATTTTCCATAGTTATGTTAGTTTACCAGAGGGTAACTGATGAGTTTAGGGGTGCCCTATTCCCAAACAACCCCATATCTGCAAGAGACGCTGGCCGTTGCGAGTCGCCCATGAACCTGACAGCGAATGTGGATCAACAAGGGGAACTTTCCATCCCTTCCTGATATGGAGGTACCCCAAACTGGATGGTTTATAATGGACAATCCTATGGAAATGAATGATTTGGGAAAACCCCCGCGACTTAGGACACCTACATATATATATATAATTATATATATATATACACTGTATAATATACAATATATAAGTCCTCGAACATGTCTTCAAAATTGATCGAATGTTGGGACTTCTCTCCTTTCAGAGGGCTGAAACAGCCAAATCCCCTGCCATTGCCTCGTGAGTGCCTGCCTGATCACGTGCCTGGAAAGCAGTAGGCATCATATTTTCGTCCAATGACATTGAGTTGATGAACCAACATCCTCACATGGGACCGGCATCATCCCCTAGATGGCTTTGTCCATACCCCAAATTTATTGCATTATCGTCATCTTCGGGCTATCTCCTCCCACTATTGACAAACACACCCCAAAGGCGTCCTGCCAAATGAACAGATTCAATCCTAAGACTAGGGTGTGTGGCAGGTTCTTAATTGATGGGGAGAAGGGAATAGCACTTGGTCGTTAAACATTATTTCTGTTTAAAGTAGTATGTATGGGCATGTTGTTACTCAATATTCCTTGCACACTATCATTGCCATAATGCAGATATACCATTCTTCCCATGGTGTACTATTATTCCCCTGACCGCCTTCACATCAGGTTTTGATGTTTACAATTGATACAATTGTTTGTGGAATATCCGCCATTTTATGGTGCTAAGGATAAATTTTAGCATCGCCCGGGTTGGTTTGGAAATCATCCATGGCCACTGTGCCAATGCACCAGTTTGTTGTTTCTACGAATGTTGTTTACATATGAAACGCTATGGGAACTCGTGATTCGCATATGCCGGATCGGCAAAGGGCGGTTCAATCATGTAATATGTTTGATTCTGAAAACTTCAAGATCTTCAAGGAAACAACTGAATGCAATCCATGTTTCACACAGCTCTCTGCGGACATGGTGACATTGATGTGTACATATACGGCGTTTCCACATGTTTCCACAGCACCCCGAATTACGAATACTTATGATACATAATCTTGAAGATTATATCGTGAGTTTGAAGTCCAGGATTCTGTAATTCTGATAAGACATTGCATCTCTTGAAGGGCGTTTCCCACCGTGCCCGCCTGCGTGTCGCCGTTGGAGAGCTTCATGACCTCTTACGGCTTGGGATGGGTTGCGGGAAATTCTTGACATGTCATGGGGATCTTTATGAAAAATAGGCTGAAATAGGTACCTCACCAACAAAATCCAACAAATATGGGGATCCTAGATGGATCACAGACCTATGGCCAACCATCGGGATATGATTTCCACAGAGAGATACGAAGAGATACGAAGAGTGATGGATGTCAGGGAATCAAATGGGAATACCAAGGAAAAAAAGGTGGGGATATTATATACTGCAATTCCCAAAATAAATTCCAACAATGGTTATTAGATGTTATTAGGCAAACACATGTGGGTGAATCCACAACAAACATGGATATTGATTTGATACAAGTGTGTGCACACAACCAGGAAAAACAGGAATACTAACCAAACCAACACACACACACACTTGCTCAGAACAATCTTTGCGAATTCTGATGTGGAATGCATCTTACATGCAAAAACACTCCAGTTATACCTGACAGGAATGGGTCGGTGAAAAGACCCGAGAAATGAGCGAGAAGATACTATCGCCAAAATAAATGCTAGATGAAATAAGTTGACAGATTGCGACAACAGTGCAGGAAATTGCACAAACCGCCATGGAGGTTCTTGGGTTGAGCCTCTTCCCATCGTCAGAGAATGAAATTTGAATGGAAGCAAACCCTGAACAACAGGTGATCACAACAATGCAGGTACGCCAGACTGGCCAAGTCTGGTATCACCGTCGATGGTAAGTGTCTTCGTTGGCAGGAGACTTACCATGACGCTCCTGCCCCCTGCTCTAAAATGGATATTGAAGTTGAAAACGGCAGTTGAGGTTGACGAAGTATCACGAAGAGAAAAACGAAAACCAAACGAACAGCAAAAAACGACATCATCAGGTAGAAGTTTTACAACTGTTCAGATGTTCAATCCACACACACACTGTATGAGAAGTGGAACATTTGGATTGAAATCCGCACATACTGGAGATAAGGGCGGGGGTTCTAATGATTCATGGCCATTGAATTCCTTGCGCATGGTAATTTCAGCAAGAACATCCATTGAAGAGATTTGGCAACTGCTCTGGTGTCATTGTTGGATGTTTACAGGATAAAAACACCACAGCATGTTGAGTTTTGGCCCAAGGTTTGGACCAATCGAGCCTAGGCTTCCCTGTAAGCATCACCATGTCTCTGTGAACTTCATTTTTGATGATAAGAAACATCATCAACCAAACAGGCAACATTTCGTGCCAACTGTTTTGTTCTATCATGTTCTATCCTCCCCAGTTCTGACGCAGTTCTTGTTGCTCCCAACCCTTGGGTCCCAGGGTCCCAGGGTCGCAACCTCCTCCATCAGATCTTTGGCGTCCAAGGCGTCTCGGTCTGCCTGGGATGGTTTCTGGGTCCATGTTTATCCCTAAATAGTTTCTGTCGTATTTATAAATATAATTATATAATTATATACTTATATAATATATAATACATAATAATAATAATAACTAATAATAATAAATAATAATAATAGTAATAATAATAATAGTAATAATAATACTACTAATAATACATAATAATACTAATAATACTACTAATAATACTAATAATAATAATAGTAATAATAATACTACTAATAATACTAATAATACTACTAATAATACTAATAATAATAATAGTAATAATAATAATACTACTAATAATACTAATAATACTACTAATAATACTAATAATAATAAATAATAATAATAGTAATAATAATAATACAACTAATAATACTAATAATACTACTAATAATACTAATAATACTAATAATAATAATAGTAAAAATAATACTAATAATAATAAATAATAATAATAGTAATAATAATAATAATACAACTAATAATACTAATAATACTACTAATAATACTAATAATACTAATAATAATAATAGTAAAAATAATAATAATAGTAAAAATAATAATACTACTAATAATACTAATAATACTACTAATAATACTAATAATACTACTAATAATACTAATAATAATACTAATAATAATAATAGTAATAATAATAATACTACTAATAATAATACTAATAATAATAATAATAATATATATATATATGTATATACACGTCCTATCCATTTCTGAACAGCTTCTATGACTCTATATTCATTTTTGAAAATCACTGAAGATGAGAGATTGGTCCGAGCTTCCAGACATGGATGCAGGTGTACCACTAAGCACAGCCAAAGAGATCTGAAACCTCCAACTAAACATGTTCGCCCCAACCCGGCCGTTCGCCCATATCCAACATTCCAACAAACTCAAACAATATCATATACTTGTCCCAAGAGGATGAACAAAAAGACTGGCTGTACGCAGTGATTGACTTCAGGTTTCATGATTTAGGGCTTTAGGGTTTAGGGTTTCAGGGTTTTAGGCTTTCTTGTTTTGGAAAGTTAAAAAAACGCGAGCCCTACGCAGGGACCAAATGTGTCAGAAAGTCGCCCGATGTTTCCATGGACCAAAGACGCCGTGGATAAATATGGAGGTTTCCCAAAACGGGGGGTAACCCCCAAATCATCCATTTATAGATGGATTTTCCATGACAAACCATCCAGCTATTGGGATACCCACATGACTATGGAAACTCCATTCCTGGATAACTTTGCTCCAAAGTTGAAAAACGATGGAACCACCAACCAATCTATATATTTCCCATTCTCCATTGGTCAGATCACCACATATTTCCATTGTCCAAAGCATGCGTTAGTCACCGTTCAATAGTCCAAAAGGTGCCCCACCAAAAAATGCCATGCACATCTTTTTTTTTTTCTTTTTTTCGTTTTTTTTTTGGTGGCAGCTTATTATCTCTTGGAATTGGGGGCACTTTTTTTTAAAGACCAAACCAAGTTAGGATTCCCGATTGCCAGCTTGAGGTCAAAATATGACGAAATTATGTCAAAACCAACCTTTTGCAGCATTGAAACATACCAAACAATGGGAACATGGTAGCATCCATCTGTATCATATGTGTATATATATATGTATAAGCAGTACATTTTTTCTACACATATCACACACACATATATATATATATAGGTACGTATTTATGACATCATACCAAAACATGTCAAACGAAATCATGCAACATCCATCTGTTCCACCCCCGGCAAAAAAAGGTGCCTCTTCTTGGAGCCGTCGACGTTCCTTGTCCAACTTCAGCACCAAATCCTCCAACTGCTGCAGCCGCTCTTCCCTTTGCTCCACCTCCTGGAAAACGCCGAGCTCTGGGGGATCTCTTGGAATCTCTTGGGTCACTTAAAGCATCTTAAACACAAGCTCTGGATTTATGGAAGTACTGCGATGGCATGCCATGGCTCTTGAGGTTTGATACTTCGCGAAAACTGCAAGAGCACGTGACATGTCCTGCCGAAGTTCCAGAACCACAGAGTCACCTCAGCAGCTTGCTAGCAATCAACAAATGACACGGCTCTTGGCGGTCAGGAACGAGAGATCTTCAACACTTCCAAAGCTTTTCAAAGAGAAGTGTATACCTGCAACCCCCGAGGTATGTATAATTTTGGTACCTACTGGGAATTTCGACCTTTCAAATCTGGGTATGAATTTCATACTAGGGTCGTTTTTTATGTTTCTTGATGTTTGTGATGATATTCACCAGGATGCCCAATGATCACTTCCCAATTCATACTTACTTCATTGATATCATACTTCAAATTAGGAAACCCCACCCATAGGTTCCACTCCATGCAGCACAGGCACCGCTGTGCTCAAGGGAGATGGCAGTGGTGCTGCCGCCCCAAGAGGTGTAAATGAAAGTTGTTGATATGGGGGTATTCTAAATGGGGGTACCCCCAAAACATATATGGTTTCAATACTAAAGTTGATTTAATGACTTGGATGATTTGGAGAACCGCCAATAGGACCCCCCCATATGGATCCTACTCAAACAAATTCAATCTAGATCCCAAATGTATATTATATCGATAACTCTTGAGATTCATTTGCGGCAGAAAGTTCACAGGGTCCCAAGAGTGCCACTGATTAACTAATGACAGATCAAGTATAACCATTGGTAATACCAAGTGTAGCAGCTCAAGCAGCTCCTTTTCATCTCATGTGCCATGCAGCACTGTGATGCCCACAGCTGCGGCCAAGCTTCATTAGCCAGGCGTCTGCATCCAGCCGAAGTTGGTGGGAATGGTGTGGGTTTGCGTTTGTGTGTTGGAGAAAGATGCACACGTAACACAGCCTATTGCTGAGTAATCTGCTTATAAGGCATCAAAGGGCCCATCATTTCCACACTGGTTCCACTGAGATCTTGCCACATGCAGGTGAGACAAACTTTGGTGGAGCGGCCCTTCAAACTCCGAAGGTCATTCTTTCATGTTTGCAGCTTACCTGAGGCAGCCGGTGTTGGCGGACTCTTTCAGCTGGAACATTCTCTTATTCATTCTCTCTTGAGTGCAGTGAAGTCCTTGACTTAGATGGTTTTATTAACAGTTATATATATTTAATTAACACTATCATGTGCAATTATATGAAAGCTTGTGGTTTGATCGAGGAAAGCACATGGGAGTCAGGGTGGCCATGTGCAACACACTTGCATCCACTGGCTCTGCAGCCACAGCTCTCTGTGAAAAACGCATGTGAAAACAGTGTTGCCAAACGATGCATAAAAAAACAGAAGCACTAAACGGACCATGAATTTACTGTATATCCACTATCTTGTAGTTGTTCTGAGTTCTGGCCCCGTTCCAGCCATGCCGTCACCACCACAGACCAAACCCGATGTGGAGACTGAGGACATCCAGTTGGACCCAAAGTCTTTAGCCGGGATGCTTGACAATGACCCATTTGTCAGGTCCCGCCTCCGCTACAAGGAGCAAGGCAAGTTGCTTCGTTGGCCTGTCGTCAATGGCGTGGAGATGGTGGGTCAAATCGCCATGCCCTCCATAGCCCTCAATGTGCGAGCACTTAGGATTTTGGCCAAATATTGGTGCCCAAAGACCAAGGAAGTTGCCAAGTCCCCCGGGATTGATTTGATGAGGGCTGAGGCAGGCAAATGATCTGCACCAAAAACATGTGTATCTACAGGATCTTTTTAAAGCAAAGCAACTACTTTTTAATCTGGCAGCAGGTGAAGCATGTAGTGTGTGTGACAGTGGTTTACCCATACATCATATTTTCAAAAATGGCTAACAAGCTCAACCATCTCATCCTTCACTTCATAGAATTCACTCAAGTCTACTTCACCTGGGTCCTCATCCTCATCCTCTAGGTTCACCAGAGGTACAGGGCCTGGGGCCCTGGGGCGCCAATGCCGGAAGAGCTCGTCATAGAAGTCGTTCACCAAGGGGTCCTTATACAGAGAACAACTTGGCAGCCAACAATACTATCTGACATACAGGCTAGTATATAAGGCATCCAAAAAACTTACAGTTTGTAAAGGCCATAGCTGGGTTGAATAAAATCCCAAATCCAAGACTAATAAACACCTTTCTTCCATCTCCAAAAATATGAACTAAACAGAGGCCAAAGTTCCCTGCGGTTGGGGCTCTTTTCATTTGGTTTTCCAAACCCAGCTTTTCTGCAACCCTGTGGACTGAAGATGATCAGGAAGGTGGGCCAGGGAAGGATGAGTTTGCTGAGGGAAACGATGAGCCAGGGAAGGGCGAGCTTCCTCAGGGAGGTGAGCTTGCTGAGACAAAGGTGGAGGGTGATGAGCCAGGGAAGGGTGAGGGAAAGGCAGAAAGGGATGAGCCAAGGGAGGAGGTGGTTGAGGCAAAGGTGGAGGGAGCCGTGGGTGAGGTGGGGGAGAAGTTGGAGACTCCTAGCCCGTGTGAACCTTTGGTCCATGGATCGCCTTGCCAACCTTGTTTGAAGCCATCGTTTGTCCCGGAGAAAATGTCCAGTTCTGACATTGAAGCCCGGATTGCCAAGTTGAAGCATCTAGTCTCAACACCAACGGATAAGTTTTGATATTGTAAAACCCTAACCCCTCCAACGATTATGCACTAAAGGCAAAATAAAAAGTATCCTTTATAGATGTCAACCCCATCCCGGGCCAACCCTTCCTTGACAGTTTCCCGGCTACCTCGGCATTTGCTAGCTTTGCAAAAGGAGAAGCCTATGTGCGATGCTGTGGAGACCCAGGCCTATGATGCAACCCAGGCAGCAGCTGACATGCAAGTGGGGTGCCCTGTGATTGAGATCGATGATTCACTCCCAATGGGTTCACCTTCAGGAACCGGGGTTTGTCGTTCATTGGCCCGTGACTTCAGCAAAGCTAACCTGGAGGAACAGATCACAGGTTTTTTTGTTTCAAAAGAATGTTGTGTTTTCAAATTGTGCGTTCCCTGTTTCTTTTACATTTTGATTTTAGCCACAAACTGTCCTTGAAAAGGTTTGCATAAGTGGTTGCACCCTGGTTTGAGGTGAGTCAGAGGAACCCCCTATGGTCGCTCCCCAGTCAATTGAGACGAAGGACCCCATGCCAGCAAAGACCATTACCGAATCTGCCCTGCATGATGTTGGTGGCAGCGCCTTGAATGGGGTGGAGGGTGCTCCTGGGAAACAACTAGCAAAGCATACCAGCCCCACAGCAGAACATGACAAGCCAAAAGAAGATCTAGAGGTTGCAGCACAGGTTGAATTGGAAGAAACACAGGTTGGGGAAACTGAAGGTCAGGTTTCGGTGCCGAAGCAAGAGCCGGCTGAGGAACACAAGGGGGAAAATATGGAGACGGAGGCAATGGAACAGGATGATGTTCCGTTGGGAGAGGGGGGGCAGCAAGCAGATCCGCCAGCACCGACGAGCCAAAGCCCTGTGAAAGAACCACTGTCTAAGAAGGTCAAGTCCGAGCCTGCGTTGGGAGAGGGGGGGCAGCAAGCAGATCCGCCAGCACCGACGAGCCAAAGCCCTGTGAAAGAACCACCGTCTAAGAAGGTCAAGTCCGAGCCTGCAGAAGCCCCCAAAAGCAATGTCAAATTGGAGCAGTGTGCACCTCCAGGTGATGTTTCTGAGGAGCCGCCACTTGTCATGCGGGTAGACCAATGGGCCCAAAAACCGAAAGCAAAAGCAAAGCCCACAGCAAAATGCAAAGCCGCATCAAAGGCCAAGGCCAAGGCCAAAGCAGGTCGAAAGAAGAAGGTTGAAACAATTGAGGTTGTTGAATCAGGTGATGAAACCCTGGAAGAGGCCCCAGCAGCAAGTTCCCAGGAAAAGCCAGCAGCTAAAGCAAAAGGTGCACCAGGCAGGAAACGGGCTTGCAGCAAAGACAAGGGTGCAGCCAAGGCCAAGGCAAAATCAAAGGGAAAGGCAGCCCAGGAGGATGAGAAGGATGACAAGGATGAGAAGGATGACAAGGATGATGCAAAGCCCGATGCTAAGAAAGACCCCCCCATCAAATATAAGCCTGTCACCCAGGATGGCAAAACTGATATCAACACAGCTTTCCAATGGGACCAGGAGGAGGGGGTGACCAGTGGGGATGGTGCTGATTGCCACCCTGGAGAATGTGAAGAGGGGGGTGCTGATCCGGGTGATGATCGTCGTCCTTTGGAGCCAGCGGTGGGGAAGAAATCCTTTGCACGCCGGCCTCCTCCCAAAACTTCGCCAGCAAAGGACAGGTACAATGCTATCAGGGACATCTTTGCTTCCCATGTGTGCCCGCATCTTCACAGCCTTGGGATGCCTATCTATCAGTGGGAGGCCTGATAATTTTACACTCTTGCATGTCACAAACACTTGTATTTTTGGGGTTTATAGTGAGTGTATTGTTTCAATGATATAGATCGATTTTCACATACCAGGGTTACTGCACCATATTATTGATGGTTTGGAATACACACTTGCGCTGAAATAATTTGAACAACATTATGTTATTGAGCAATGATTCCAGCAACGATATTTTTGTATTTGTTTCAGGCCATTCTTTGTTTTGCAGGTTGATGTTTTCAACTTGTCCCCCTCCGCCCTTATCAGGTGGAATGGTGGGAATGGTGCATGGAGAAGTTTGCCGCTGATGATTCTTTGACGGATTGCCCACCCGAGAAGTGGACTGAAGCAGCCACTGCTCAGGTGGATACGTTCTTGGAGGAGAATGGCTTGGTTTTTGTTGATGATTAATTCCCAATGGGGCCTAGGAGTTCTGACCGGTATGGTTGTGTGTGGCAATGCAGGACTCTCACACCATGTTTCCGTGAAAAAAAACAAGTAAGTAAGATTTATTTTTAGCATATGATTTGGCACAAGTCCTGTAGGAGAGCTCTATTTTCGAGGTGTTGAATCAACACCTAGTTGGGTCCGATTTCACAATGTTGTGAATTTCAGGCAGCTACCACGGCTGCAAATCCTTCTTGGGGATGTCAAATAGGGGCTACTGCAGTGAATGTGTTCTGCTTCAACGCGTTCTTGCAAATCTATATGCGCCAGTACTTAGCGATTGGCTGTCTGCCTTCATCCGGTGGAAAAAGAAAACACCCTGGTGAGAACACCTTGGGGGGAGATGGGAAAACATGCCCAAAGTTCATTATATGCATGCAAAGGCTTAGATGACCCATATGTTAATACGTGCATATTTTCCAATAAGTGTTCCAAGCATGTGTGTGTGCCTGCGTGTGGTGACACACAGGTGTATGCATGTGTAGAACACAAACTCAGTGCAAAAGATCTTTGGAATAGGGGATCTGTGTTGTATATTTCCAGCAAAGGGGTGTTTCCAATGATTCCTGCCTCCCAGTAGCTCCGGCCAGGTTGATGCCACCCTATGGTCTTCCAAGGGGATGGATGAACCTGGCGAAATTTGGCGGTGGCCCCCCAGATAGAGGTGGGCACGGCTTGTTTCCTATTGTTCTTTAGGGTCCTGTCTAAGAGCTATCCTTTATGACATCACCATCCTAATGAACTTTATTTACAACAGAGGGCTTAGCTGGGTCGCATGCACATCTGTCAGTGAGATTGGCATTGCAGCTGTTTTTGCCTTCCATGTCCATTATCTTCCTTCTCGAACAGAAGCTGACAAAACAAGTGTTGCCCTATCTTCAATCTACAGGGGATATCTTCAATCTAGAGGGGATGGCTAGCCAGGGATAATGCAACATCAATTGGCCCCATGAACTTGTACTGGTCCCTACATACCATCATATGGGTTGATCAGTTTTGCACCAACATTGGCTTGCAACCACAATGGTATATAGTATACCTTTGTTTGGCCGTCGTGTCGCCGGTTTTCAGCCATGACACCCTCTCAATTTGACCTCCTCGTGAAGCGTATGATAGCTGTGAATACGCCCAAAGAATCTTGGGATGCATTTTTTGTTCAATCTCAAACGAAACCCTGCAGCCATAATTTTGCAACAAATCATTTTGCAAGATGGTAGTGCCAAGGTAGTGGTTCTTCTGGTCCTCTTGGTTTGGTGGCTTGACATTCCCAAACATCATGATGCACCTTACCAAGTAATAGAATATTTTGCTGGTGTGGGACGAATTGCTGCCTTGGCAAAACTTTGCGGATTTACCACTGCCGCGGTGGACATCGACTATTCCAGGGAATGGGGTAAAAGGATGGGTCGGCGGCCACCTATGGATTTGAATGGCAACGCTGGCCTGGTGTTACAGGTCTGCAACAAGCTTAATAGGTACCCCTTGTTTTTCCATCAAAACCACTGCAAACAGTTTGTGGGGAAATAGTTCGGGATGGCACCAAAACAAATTTAAATAATTTTGGCCAATGGGGAAAACAATGATTATATATGTTTTATGTTCAGAGCCTACTCCCAAGGTTATGCATACATTTGCTATTGTCTTCGGAATGGGAAGCTGTAGCGGCCTTCCTAGCAATAGTATGTTCATCATTTGTGCCAGTGAACCGTGGAAGCACTTGGCGAAGTATTCTTACACCTCTTGGAAACGAAGAATTTGTGGGAGTCAGACGTGGGAACAAACTTGTAGCAAGGACTTGGGCACAAAATTGTTTTGGAGACAGAACCCCCTTCAAAATTGAATTCAACTTATCATCGCTGCATTGATTTATTGGCTGGTTCCACTTGAATCCACATGCACACAAGAGTTTAGTTGATTTACCCTGAAGAAGCGTTATTTTGATGCTGATCACCTACTTAGCGAATGGGGTATTCCTGGTAGAAAACCCGGGCAACTCCCTGATTGCCTTCCATCCTCGATGGGTTTGGTTTCTAGAGCAGCTCCGGAAGCACGGCGTGGAGGTTCCTGGGCGTGCGGATGTTTGTTTTTGTGCTGGGCCCTCTTGGTTTAAGTATACACACACACAGATATATATATATATATCTGTGTGGGGTAACCTTCCTATGGTTCAAAATCATATCAATTTCAAACTTGTCCATGCAGCTCAGATACAAAAAGTGGCTTTTTGGATGAGAAAATATGGATGCAATTCATGGAAAAGAACATGGCTATGGGCCAACTCAAACCGTATAGCAGCTCTTGATCGGGGACCTTTGACAGCTACTGAAAAGTCCACGGCTCGTCCAACCACAACCCGTTACAAGAACAAGTCTGGAGAGACAAAGTTCAAGGGCAATTCCAGCCTTAAAGGCTCTCAGAATCTTGTCGATATTGTGTTTGTTTACATTTGACATACTTTAGACATGTCAATTCCTTCAGACATGGTCCACGATTACCTTTTTGGGAAGTCAACTTAGGAAGTATACCTACAAGTATGCTGCCAAGCTGATAACACTATTACCGGACTTCCGGTCTGATGCAAGAGGGCGGCCCTTTGCTGTCGAGGCGTGATAGATTACATGTATATATATATATATATACTATATGTCATATATGTCATATATGTCATATATGTCATATAATTATATGTTATATATGATATATATGTTATATATGTTATATATTTTATATATGTTATATATGTTATATATGTTATATATGTTATATATGTTATATATGTTATATATTTGCTATAGTAGCTCCTCCACATGCTAGCTTTGGAAATCCCAATCCTGGCTTAGTCCCACAGCGTTGGCAGGTGTCTTCAGAGCCACTACAGGAGCAATTTGCGGCAATGTCTTATGATGATGAGGGCAAAGCATGGGAACAAGAAGCGGATCTTAGGGATGTAATTCAATACGTCAGAGGGGCCAAAAAACTCATCATTCCTGATGGGTGGAGACCCCTTTTGCCTACGGAGATCTAATGGTAAGTGCATATATAAATATCACTATATATATATATATAGCCATGTGGTCCCCAAACCTGATTTACTGTATTGACTGTTGGTTCAAAAAGTTATAAAATATACATTTATAGCAACAGGTCTCATGCAATCCAGATGCCAGAACGTGGCATCTTCGAGGATGTCTTTTGCAAAGTTTCCTTCCTGCAGCTGACCGCTGTGAAGGTGCTGACAAAAAATGGGGCATGATTCTAGGTGATGGAGTTTTCCCCTCATACTTGAAGCACCAATTAAGGCTATGGCACCAAGGTTCGCGCGAACCTATGAATGTAATATTCAGTAATTTGGGGTGACCTTAGAGTCCGTAAATTATTCTATCCAATTGACATCATAATCAAACTGCATCTATAGTGTAATCATTTTAAACCAATCATCTTTGCGGGCTTTTCAGAGGAGTTAACATGTTATGACTTTTGTTTAGATAGGAGAAACTCCATGAATGAAGTTTGTAATGTAAAAACTTCATGACCGGAAAATCCCAAGAAAACTTCATGAATGCTGCTTTGGTAAATCTTAACTTGATGAAGGCTTGACAAAGGGAAACTTCATGCATGCAGTTTTGACAAAAACTTCATGAAGAGTGCCTACTAAAAAGGGAAACTTCATGCATGAAGTTTTGATCAAAACTTCAGAAAAGGGGCTGACCAAAGAGACACTTCATGAGTGTGGTTTTGAGGGAACATCTCATGACTGGAATTTCCCAAACGGAAACTTCATGCATGCAGTTTTGATCGAAACTTCATGATTAAGACTTGCCAAAGGGAAACTTCATGCATGCAGTTTTAACAGAAACTTCATGAATAGGGTTTACTAAAAAAGGGAAACTTCATGCATGAAGTTTTGATCAAAACTTCAGAAAAAGAGGTTGACCCAAGAGAAACTTCATGAGTGTGGTGTTGAGGGAAAATCTCATGACCAGAATTTCCCAAACGGAAACTTCATGCATGCAGTTTTGATCGAAACTTCATGATTAAGACTTGCCAAAGGGAAACTTCATGCATGAAGGTGTTATAAAAAAAAAACCTCATGAAGAGTGCTTGCTAAAAGAGAACTTGTTTTGAATGAAAACTTCATGACTAAGATTTCCCAAAGGGAAACTTCATGCATGCAGTTTTGATCAAAACTTCATGCATGAAGGCTTGTTTCCCTTCATGCATGGAGTTTTGCCAAAAAACTTCATGAAGAGGGCTTACTAAAAGGGAAACTTCATGCATGAAGATTCTTCATGAAACCTTTAGTATTGCATCCTTATGTTAATTTCTTCATGATCCCCAAAAATTAGGGGCGGAAATTCCCGGGTAAGGGGCGGAAATTCCCGGGTAAGGGGCGGAAAAACCCGGTCTGTAGTTTGAGACTTCATCTGCATCCCTTTCATGAAGAAAATTCAGGGGGGGCATGTCAAGCCTTCATGTGTCATGTCCTTACAACATCCCTGGGTTGCCTGATCATGCAGCCTGTTCAGTGGACCTATACAGTTGGGGCGCCATATGCCTAGGCAGCTGCTTTCTAGGGTTTTTAGCACAGAGACTTTAGCTGCAGGGCTTCAGTTGGTAAAAACTGAAGCGGGTATGTCGGATCTTAGTGACCTGAACCCTCAAGAACTTGAAGCGGAACTTCGTGAACTGGAGGCCGGTCATGTTGACCTGCTACAATTTGTTGACCTGCTGATGTTTTGGTATCCCTTGTTCCACCCATTACCTTGGGCCATTCCGTTTCATATACCTTTGTCCGTATAGGCAGTGAAACGACGTAGAGAAGAAGAGGCTACTCGACCTCTACCAACACCTGTCCGTTCTTTGGATTCACAGACTGCTGGGCCTGATGATGAAACAATTCCAGCAATCGTGGCCCCTCGTCATACAATCTCAATTAACAATGTGAATATGCCACATCCTATGTG